ACCCTGCACGAAGCATGCCTGTTTTCGATATTAAATAAATATCCTATAAACGTGATTAGAGGTAAAATCGAGTTACCTGTTCTCCAGTTTGTAACAATAGGTCACTATCCACGGTTAATCAAATGTCGTGAATGCCCAGGGATAATTCAAATTCTGTTTGGCTTGTCGTTTTAAAGATACGCTATCTACTTTCCCTTCAACCATAAGCGTATTTGCCTTGCCCTGTTCGGTAAACGAAACTCCTGTTTACCGATGTAGTTAAACCCAAGCTTGCCCCCCCCCCCCCCCCCCCCCTAATGAACACGGGAGTGTTCATTTAAAAGGCTTGTTCAATTTAATTAATTGAACTATTTTTCTTGACCCAGTTGCCCCTCCTACGTTAACAGAAGAAAATACTTGTAAATTTTGCTTAACGAAATGGATTAGGTAAAGTAGGTAAAAGCCCATTTTCATGTCGTTTGTGAATTGTTTATTTGATCTTTAACCCATAATAATTATATAGTAAGTAAGTAAAGGACCCTTTTCAACGCCTTCTGGCGCATAGGGCATATAGGGCTAGACCTATATTTTTATAGACCAAACGGCACAATATGGGTGATGTGGTCAGCAACACACAACCGCCTTTACTTACCGGGACTGCACTCAGAACCCACTCAAACCTGGTAGTTTAGATCATTATTGAAAAAAAAAATATGGCTCCGCCAGAGAGCGAACCCACGACCTTCCGATCCGCACGCGAGCGTCTAGCCGCTACGCCACGGCGACTCCATATAATTATATACATCATCGTTTTTATGTTTAACCCATAATTCTTTAGATCAGTCGCCTCTTGATATTTTCTTTAGGGTATGTCGGTGTTTCGGGGAATTAACAGGCAGACAGACTGGCTGGTTCTGTCCTTTTTTTTTTTTTTTTGTGTAGTAAATTGATGCACGAAGTTAATGCTCTTTGGAAGCGAAATCGCCAGCATCAAGGCACAGACACGCCACTTCGGTTTAAAGAGAATGTCGCTGCAAGTGGTGACCGAGGGATCTTGCTGAGGCTGAACACTCAGGAGATGGAAGGGTGAGAGGAATTTACAATAAGTCCGTGGCTGGTATCATACGGGGTAGAATACGCTTGCTGCTGACGGTGGGGACGGAGAGAGTACGGGAGTGTCTCGAGTGCTATGATTTCGGTTCCTGACTCATTATAGATCAGATGGCATTTAATGGGCAAAATAGTAAATATAACTTTGGATGCCTTTACTTCCCATGACTTGTGTCACTGTCCACATGCGTTGGCTCATTACTTTCCAGCAGGTCCGCTTGTTTATTGCCTCATGACCAGGTGTGTAGACAGAAGAAGAAAAAAGAGACGAGGAACCTTTGATGTCGCAGAAACATTAAATATAATAAACAATCCGTCAATTTATTGATCGGCACTCATAGAAGAAAGTAGAAATATAGAAGGACACAGACAACATAGAAATCGAAAGTTATAGTCGCCATGCCATGAATCGAACCAGTGACCTCCAAATGACAACAGAAACTAGACAAAGAAGTGTACTGACAGGCATGACCAACAAGCTTAGTACAACTGTTCTTTCGGCGAGGCATTGTCGTCATTTGAAGGTGACAAGTTATCTAACATGGTAACTAGAGCTTTTGATTTTTATTATATCTAGTGTGTCCTTCTGCCTGCCGATCCAGGCGAGAAAGGCTTGGTTTCTGTTTAAATTAAGACCCCTTTCATAATCTGTCATAAACTGTGTTGTTCCGTTCACACAAAAGTATAAAAATCCGGAACAAAATATAAACATTCATTTATAAATCGCAACGAAATATGTTATCATCCCACTTGTACTATTTCTGAGTGGTTTTGTTGGTAAAAAATCTAATGACACTATAAATAATACTAATAATAATAAGATAACAAACCCGGACTTTACTCTGGTGCTACAGCTCATAGGCACGGAGAAAAAGGACATGTCTGAAAAAGTCGCATTAAAAAAAAAAAAGATTTCTGCATCATTGAGATCTCTTTGACAATCTGCACACAATTAAATCGGATTAATTGTTCCGTTCGCATAGAACTACCAACATCCGGAAAGATATCAACTTTCATTTTTAAATCACATCATAAATATACGTTATCTTTCTACTGGTGTGAGAGATAGATAGATAGATAGATAGATAGATAGATAGATAGATAGATAGATAGATAGATGGATAGATAGATGGATAGATAGATAGATGGATAGATAGATAGATAGATAGATAGATGGATGATAATAGATAGATAGATAGATAGATAGATAGATAGATAGATAGATAGATAGATAGATAGATAATAGATAGATAGATTAGATAGATAGATAGATAGTAGATAAGATAGATAGATAGATAGATAGTAGATAGATAGATCAGATAGATAGATAGATAGATAGATAGATAGATAGATAGATAGATAGATAGATAGATAGATAGATAGATAGATAGATAGATAGATAGATAGATAATAGATAGATAGATAGATAGATAGATAGATAGATAGTAGATAGATAGATAGATAGAGATAGATAGATAGATAGATATAGATAGATAGATAGATAGATAGATAGATAGATAGATAGATAGATAGATGAGATAGATAGATAGATAGATAGAGATAGATGATACAGAGAGAGAGAGAGAAGAGAGAGAGAGAGAGAGAGAGAGAGAGAGAGACTCATTTGAATATTGGTGATGATGATAATATGATAATACTTTGAACAATAAAAATACGATGACAAACTAAGACTTTCCGCTGGAGCTTACAACCATTAAACGAAGAAAATGGATAAGTCTGGAAGAAAAGTCCCATAAAAAAGGAACGATTTCTGCACCAATAGATCTCTTTTATGAATCTGTACAATCTGTTAGTATAGAAGTACCAAAATCCGGTAAAGTCGGAACTTGTTATAAATCATAACATCATAAAGAAATACGTCCCGATTGACGAGTTTCAACCGGAGACTTCTGGATTGTACATACGTAGGTCAAAGATCTGAACCGTAGTTTCTATATATGAGGTACATATAACTCCAAATAATGTCTTTTCTTTACACGCGGGTAAGGGCTTTTCTCTATTCAGGCGTAAACATACATTTATTGGTTATGCCTGCCTGAACTAGCGGCCGTTATGGGACAGGTTAGGTCGTGTACAGGGACAACGTGACGTCACATGTGGATTCCTGACGTCAAGCTTTGAGTACGGTGTTTAATAGAGACTCATTTAAAGGCGTTGTAAGGTGATCTGATCGGGATCAAATAACAGGTGATTGAAAATCGAACGTCACTACGTGGGTTCTGTTTTTGATTCTCTGTCTTTTTGCTACAGAAGCGATAGCTACGGGAACATACGTACTGGCCAAGGAAGATATTCTGAAGATCATATATGAACGAATGGTAGCAGAGGACACGAGATTAGACGAAATAACATGTGTAAGAATATGTGAACGAGGTGTGGATACGGCACGGAGGGACGTATGAGATAAAGAGAACGACGTGTGTATTGTCAGTGGGGTACGAGTACAGCTAGCATCTACACCTTTAGTCATTTGCTGCTGAAAACGGAGCATCTATGTGTACCTCCGGCGTGCTATGATGCCGATTCTTAACCTTTTAAGTCCCAAACAACGCACCATGTGTACTAGATATTCCTTATGTGCACCAGCCAGCATGTTTTATATATTTGTACATCTTGAGTTTAGTCAGGCTAACTAAATCAATCCAACAACACCAGTCACCCAAATTGTGCTGTGTATTCCGACCCTGTGGATGCAGTATACCCATGCTGTTGCTGTTATTAATGTTTCGGCCAGGCTCATCTATGGTCTTCTGAGACCGAAACAGTTAAATTAGTCATCTCTTGTCTTTTTCAAGTGCTGCTGGCAACCTGTCGAGTACGGTAATAAGATTGTAACTAAATAATTTTTTTTTTTTTTTTTGATGTGCCGTCTCCGCGAATGAGGTTACGGCTGCCGTGAAAATTTACATCAGCCGACGCTGGGAATGTTATATGATGAGGCACCACTTTCGCAGTGTCTATCATAATGCCAGAAATAGAACAGTATTTACACAGCCAATAAAAGGACTCATTTCCACGCTTTTTGTGCGTATGGGGCACATAGGGCTAGACCTATAGTTTAAAGGACCAATCAACACTCGGTGGGTGAGTGACCAGTATCATGCTGCTCGCCTTTACTTCCAAAGACTTCACCTGGTACATATTTAAGGCTGAGCTGACCTGGGAGCCAAGGTCAATCTTGAAAAAAGTCAAGGTTGTCAGGATATGACCCCCATCCGCAGGCGAGCGACCCAACCAATCGGAACTGACGAAAATTGATGTGACGCATTCAACAGCTGTAGTCTCATTCTACACTGCTCCTCACTAATATGTGGTTTAATTTTGTTTCGTATTCTTCTCATGAATGTTCTTTAAAATATCTTCGCCATATAATAATGATGAGGTCAACATGGCGCCTGCGTTGGTCAAGACTGGAATCTCTTAAAGATTACAAATATGGAGATGTCAGCTTGCTCGGATATTGTCGGCTGCTTTCTGTGAATATATATACTTTAACGTTTGTAGGTATACGAACGAGTAGGAGAGCGGAAGAATGAGAATAAGAGCAATATGATCAGTTGGGCGAGGGGGGGGGGGGGGGAGGAAGAAGAACAACAACAAAACTTAAACAAAATGAGCAGAGATATTTAAAAAAAAATACACGGGTTTTTTGTGTGTGTGTGTATTTTATTTCACCCCCTCTCGGAGTCTCTGAGACTTCGTGGGGACTACATCACCCATCTTGCGCTGATTGGTCTATAAAATATAGATCTAGCACTACATGCCCTATACGTCTAAAGGCGCGGAAAAGGGCCCTTTAAGTACGCACACACACATATATATACACACGTGTGTGTGTGTGTATGTATGTGTGTGCGTGAGTAAAACTAGTTCGAACGATAAACACTTACCTGCGTTGTGACAAAGAAAGCGCATCTCAAAATCTTTACAGGGAATCACCAGCGCCCACTGGTTGCTGTTTATCATCTCGCAGATACTGCCAGTAAAGGTTTCACAAGGAAGGCGAAAGTATTGACCATCTGGCCAGGTTGTCGTTGTAGTTTCATTCGTTGTCGAGCTTTTTGTTGTGCATTCCACATTGTCGATGTCGTTGCAGTCATAGTTGAATAACTGCAGATCAACAAAACACCATTAGGTTGAACATATGTAACTACCAAGCGAACAGTACAAAGGAAAAACGATATACAGAATTCCATCACCAATCGGCAGGTTCTTTATAGATCGTCGATCTCACCACGACACGCCTGAAAGTATTTCTGTTTCTAGCCAATTATCCAGCCCTATGTGTTTTCATAGCCAAGATGTTAAACGTTGAAATAGGAAGCGACATCACAACACACGGGACAGTCCCATAAGTGCTCTGTCCCTATCTTCAGCAGCAAGCGAAGAGTTCCAATTCCGATGACACCAGTAACCGTCTGATTGTATATCCGTCTCATCCTTTCCCTGAGTGTTGAGCGTCTGTCACATCCTCTGGAAACTCCTCGCAGTGCCATTCTCCTCAGACTGTAATGATCTATCTACGCCTCCGCACTGTTCACTCGTTCCCAAAGGGCCCTCAAAATATCTAGCTTGTCATACATCAATTCACCACCAAGTGGTGCAAAGCCGGCCAGTCTATCTGCCTGCTCATTTACCAACACACCGGCATGCCTTTCATAGCTAATGCATCTTCAGTGTCTGGTATCCAGCGATAGAGCTTTCCATGACAGCCACATACAGAACACGATGGCGAAATCACTGTCACTGTTCAAGTCATGGATCTTAGTACACTTGTTTCCATAACGAAGGGCGTCGGTCATTTAGAGTTTTCAGGTTCGGCATGGTAGCTATAATTTTAGATTTCTATTTTGACTAGAGTGTCTTTCTATCGTTCTACTTTTTTTCTGCTTGGAGTCAAAGGTGTGAAGAGCATTGTCTGAATAATTTTGTCAGGGGGAGGGGGTGGGGGGGGGGGTGCTTGCCAGGCGAGCAGACTGGCTGACTCTACACAACTTGTGTGCAATATTGATGCATGATGAGGTAGACGTAGTTAGGGCTTTATAGGAGCACGTGTGCGTTTCGGAACAGCAAATTGATCATCAGTCTGATGAAAGTGATGCAGCGAGGAGTGACGAGGGGATCTGGCTCGTACTCGACGATTAGAGGAAAGGCAAGACAGACCAGAAGACAGACAGACAGACAGACCAGAAGACAGACAGACAGACAGACAGACAGACAGACAGACAGACAGACAGACAGACAGACAGACAGACAGACAGACAGATAGATAGATAGATAGATAGATAGATAGATAGATAGATAGATAGATAGATAGATAGATAGATAGATAGATAGATAGATAGATAGATAGATAGATAGATAGATAGATAGATAGATAGATAGATAGATAGATAGATAGATAGATAGATAGATAGATAGATAGATAGATAGATTAAACAGCGCTTACCTCTCTAATCCTGTCCAGCGTTCCGTTGTTTGTTCCGTTGAGAAGTTTGCCATCGTACCACTTTGACCAGGTTTTCACACCTACAGATAGATAAATATCTATGGTCACACACTTGTGCGTTCATGGTCACGCCTATTAAACACAATTTTTAAGAAACCTGTAACGCCTTCACAGGACAGTCACCTTGTTGTTTCCCCTTACTGGGGATTGAACCCGGAACCTCTGGTACTCTAGGCGGACACCATGCCTCGAGACCACGCACAAATAAAGTTACATCTCTTTATTATTTCTCTTTGTTGGTTCCGAAGCCCCATTTTGTGTGCGTGTGTGAGGGATAGACCTCCTGCATCATAACAAGCATGTCGTAAGAGTCGACTAATAAGTGGTGTTACCGTCGAAGTCGATGCGTATCTTCCTGGGAGGCGAGGTACCAACAGCTTGCATACACATAAGCCAGATCTGTAAAACGGATATGTATGCCCAACTCAAAGTTCTTGAACAAGACTACAGTCACAGACGTGAACGAATAGTTAGAACTCTCGACCGTAGTTTACTGTTGGTGAACGCAAAGGAGACGGAGTATATTAGGCTGACTGGTAAATAAATGTAAATTATATACTTGGTTGAGTGGAAGATCTCTACTACGATAAAAAGATGTGAGCAAGCGGGACATGAATTATACAGGTTTTGAGGTGGACTCGTGGGAACAAAATGCCATGGAACGTGACGCCTGGAGGGGAGCACATCAGGAAGGGAATAAGAATGAAGGAAGAAATGATTGAAGAAAGGAGGAGAGCTGAGGGTCTCAGAAGAAACAGACTAAACACAAATATTGACAACAACGGCCCTGATATCACGTACTATAATTGTGGAAGATTGTAAGTCCCATGCCTCTTCATCGCGCAATATAACACTGTCGTCTAGGAAGACCTAAAGGTGCCATCTAAAGGTGGAAGGCGCTTAATCCTTTAGTCCACTTTGTGGGCATGAGAGCGTGGGGAGGGGGAGGAATGAGTGGTCGCTCAAGTTATCGGAGCTTCCAAGTTCTGGCGCACTTGATAAGCTATCACATACAGGCTGGGTTAGTGCCTAACAACATTATTAAACCAGAAACCACAACCCAACCAGTTACCACAGGCAGAATCTGGAACATGTGGTCACTATGGGAACCATCAAGCACGGTAACCTGACGCCGAGCACTTTCTGTTGGCTTGGATCTATCAACATACGCACGCACACACAGCACGAACGCACTCGTAATTACTCTACAAAATCGTATAATTTTTTTTTTCTTAAATCTCACTATTCTCAGGCCACTGGGGTATCAAATTTGGGACGGGGTTTCAGAAGGCGCCGACGCAAATACAACCGGTGGGGGGGGGGGGGGGGGATAGGAACCTTTCAGCCCCTTATAAGTTTCTTATGGGGATTGGGGGGGGGGGGTGGCTCAGTAGGCATAAGCTCTATTTAATTGTGCAATAATACTTATTATTTTTATTATTATGTTTGTTAGTCTTTCAACTTGGGCCTCGGGCGGCGCATTGGTCAGAGGTCATAACTCTCCCTGTCTGGCGGTTATTTGCCACCTCTAAAGTTCCGGTAACAAGTTTGAACGAAGCATCCTAAAATTTATAGCTAGATATACGATTTTAAAACAAAGGATGTTTTACGATGGCGACTTGTCGGGTCGTCGATCAACAGTCATATTACGTGTTGAAGAGGCAAATAAATATATTATTATATCTGGAAAACTAAGGAATGTACGAAAAAGTTCTCAAAACAAGATAGTTTCTACGCATGCTTTAAGGAGTCACTTAGCCTTCTGGTAATTTTTTTAGGGAGGGAGTTGCATGAGCCTCCAGTTTCAAGCGCCCTTGCAAATTTCTCAGGGTAAAGAATCTTAGGAATCCGTAACGTTAATCTCCGCACGCTCCGCCTATATATATACACACTCTAGGTCACTTCTTATTGGTAGTTCCTTAGCCCCGTGGCCTTCGCACAAGCAAAGAGGGGTGTTCCGCGATAACGTTGATATCGCATGTTGTATATTTCAGCACGCCAGTGCTTTTCTATTGAAAAATCGGCACTCGATGGGTGATGCGGTAAACATCACGCCGGCCGCCTTTATTTTATAAGACATTCGCTGGCATTCATTTTGCGCTGGATCGACTTCTGGGCACTGCGTCAGCTCTTTCAACCCCAGACAGACATTACTTTAAATCATTATATCCAGAACAGTTGTTACTTAAAGCAATACATATCTATCTGAACAGGCGAGTGAGTGAGTGATACATATCTATGTCTGAACAGGTGAGTGAGTAAGTGATACATATCTATGTCTGAACAGGTGAGTGAGTAAGTGATACATATCTATATCTGAACAGGCGAGTGAGTGAGTGATACATATCTATATCTGAACAGGTGAGTGATACATATCTATGTCTGAGTGAGTGAGTGATACATATCTATGTCTGAACAGGTGAGTGAGTAAGTGATACATATCTATATCTGAACAGGCGAGTGAGTGAGTGATACATATCTATCTGAACAGGCGAGTGAGTAAGTGATACATATCTATCTGAACAGGTGAGTGAGTAAGTGATACATATCTATCTGAAACAGGCGAGTGAGTAAGTGATACATATCTATGTCTGAACAGGCGAGTGAGTAAGTGATACATATCTATCTGAACAGGTGAGTGAGTAAGTGATACATATCTATCTGAATAGGTGAGTGAGTGAGTGATACATATCTATCTGAACAGGTGAGTGAGTGAGTGATACATATCTATGTCTGAACAGGTGAGTGAGTGAGTGATACATATCTATGTCTGAACAGGTGAGTGAGTGAGTGATACATATCTATCTGAACAGGTGAGTGAGTGAGTGAGTGAGTGATACATATCTATGTCTGAACAGGTGAGTGAGTGAGTGATACATATCTATCTGAACAGGTGAGTGAGTGAGTGATACATATCTATCTGAACAGGTGAGTGAGTGAGTGATACATATCTATCTGAACAGGTGAGTGAGTGAGTGATACATATCTATCTGAACAGGTGAGTGAGTGAGTGATACATATCTATGTCTAAACAGGTGAGTGAGTGAGTGATACATATCTATCTGAACAGGTGAGTGAGTGAGTGAGTGATACATATCTATGTCTGAACAGGTGAGTGAGTGAGTGATACATATCTATGTCTGAACAGGTGAGTGAGTGAGTGATGCATATCTATGTCTGAACAGGTGAGTGAGTGAGTGAGTGATACATATCTATGTCTGAACAGGTGAGTGAGTGAGTGAGTGAGTGATACATATCTATGTCTGAACAGGTGAGTGAGTGAGTGATACATATCTATCTGAACAGGCGAGTGAGTAAGTGATACATATCTATATCTAAACAGGCGAGTGAGTGAGTGATACATATCTATGTCTGAACAGGCGAGTGAGTGACATTCAACTCCACCAGAACCGACAACCAACGATAAAACACCCGGTGACACAAAGTGCCACCATTGGGAGGAGAATCCAACGAGCATAAGTGCCAGAAACCTCGTTCAACTGTTAGGTTATATTAGGGTCCCCCGAGGACAGCCGGATGGGGCTTTTAAAATAACATATTTTAAAAAAAAACTTGCATAACGTATTGGGACAGACTACGGTCAGATTCAAACAATAATACTTTTGAGATGCATAGCGGATATACAAGAAGTCTTGTTATTAAGCGTAGGACTGGCACTATAAAATCGCAGCCTTGCTGATGGTAAAGCGGGAATCTTATCATTTTTGGACGTGTCCGGGGGGGCTGTGGTGATAACCCAACTCATGACTCAACTGAATAAAGTAATCGATAACAATAAACATTGAAATAGATTCAAGTAATGCACCAGGTTTATGAAGGACGAGATCAAAAAAGCAGATCACGTAAAGAGTAACCGAATACGCATGGGTAGTTGCTAGGCACCTGCAAGAGTTAATAGAACAATCTAACAGAAAAACAAAGCACGTAAGAGAGGATAGCAAAATGTGACACAGGGAGATGTGGAAAGTGATAAATATTACCGTGTGTGAGAGAAAAGGAGAAACAGAAAGAAAGATGCAAAGATATAATCAATTATCCGATCAAACAACCAATCAACTTTCCAGCCAACCAATTAACTAAATGCAGAGCCAGCCAATTAGGAAGCTGCCCAGCCAGCCAATTAACAAAATTTCCAGCCAACCAATTAACAAAATGTCCAGCCAACTAATTAACAAAATTTCCAGCCAGCCAATTAACAAAACGTCCAGCCAATCAATTAACTAACTGTTCAGCCAACCAACAAAGTAAATGTTCAGCCAACCAACAAAGTAAATGTTCAGTCAACCAACAAAAACTGTCCAGCCAATCAACTAGCTGTTTAACCAACCAACTACCTGTCCAGCTAATCAATTGAGTAACTGTTCAGCCAACTAACCAACTGTCCAGTCAGTCAACTTAGTAACTGTTCAGCCAACCAATCAACTAAGTGTTCAGCAACCAACTATGTAACTGTCTAGCCAACTAACTAAGTAACTGTACAGCCAATCAACTAGCTGTCAAACCAGCATATCCACTAAACAAATAACCAAGTAACAGTAAATGAGTAAATAACTGTCCAGCCAATCAAATAAATAACCACCCAAAACAACTAACTGTTAGTCAACCAGTTAACTAACTAATGCCCAATCACACAACTGTCTGTTTCTAACCAACTAACTAATTAGCGAACTAACTGACGGACTAAGTAACTGAATAAACCCTGAACGTCACCTACTTTAATAAATTATTAGCATAATTTTGAAATAAACTTTGTGCCGTTAACTTTCAATTACATGTTTTTTATATTTGGTTTCCTTTCATGTCTCAATGTATCAGTCAATAATGAGAGGTTTGATGTTTTAACAACAGATCAACATAATGGCACACGGATAGTAACCCATAAGTGCTCCATTCTTTCTTCTAAATCAAGTCTGAGTCCAAAGAAGCTCAGCACAGTGCACAGGCTCTGTAGCACCGGCGAGGATCCTGAAATACTTTGGGCAGATTTTCAACTCAAAAT